GAACAAGGGCTTCAACTTTTTGAATTACTGATTATCGATTAAATATTCTCACAACAATTAGTTTTTGTTTTAACCTTTATTATTGATGAAGCTAGCTATGTGGTACAAATAAATTTAGGTTTCTAGAATCAAGCTAGGGCGATTTTTCATTTGTTAAAAGAATGAATATAAGCCAAGTTTAATTTTGACCAAAAAAGCCAAGTTTAACGATAATGGAAAATCATCTTTTGCTACATCAATCACTTCTAAGAGCATGTTTAGTGGTGATACTTTTGTGGGTTTTGTGGGTTTCTTTAAATATAAAATTATTAAAATTTGAGTAAAAGGAAACAAAAAGTGTTTTTGGTTAAAATAATGGGGTGTATTGAAATATAAAATTAATAAAGAGAAGAGATAGTAAGTGTGTTTAAATATAAAATTAATAAAAGTTGAATAAAATGAAGAGAGAGTTTCTTTAAGTTGATACTTTTAGAGAGTTTTGTAGGAAAAAGTGTGTGTGTTTAAATATAAAATTAATAAAGTTGAGTAAAAAGAAGAAAAAGTGTGTTTTTTAATAATTTTATATTTAAAGAAATCCACAAAACCCACAAAAGTATCACCACTAAACATGCCCTTAACAGTTTATAAGATCAAGGGGGTTTCTTCAGCCATGTCGACTATTAATTAATTAATGTTTCGTTATAAACCTTCAATGTTTTAACAAGAAGCATTTTATCATATCTATGCCGTATGGTTGTTAGTGGATTAAACTAAATCTTTACCTTAAATAGATAGAAATTTAAAATATCTGCATAATATAATACGAATAATTTTTGAAGATTATTTTAAAACTTTATTGTAAACATGAAGATCCATAAGACATTGTGAAAGAGAGTTACTAGGTATATGTATATCCTTTTAAGAAGGAAAATAAACCATATGCACACAGACACTGCCTGGATATACGAATCACATAATAAAATAATAACTTATATAATGGTTGGCAGGAAAAGAAAAAATATATATATAAGTATAATGGTTGAGGTACTTTTGGTTTCATGCATATGATTTTTTTTATACAGTAAATATATATATAACGTTTGAGGTACTTTTGGTGTTCGTACATATGATTTGGTGGGGCCTATTAGCCCAACATTCGTCTCGGTAACATCTCTATATATAAAATGAAATGTTTATGCTTATTCAAATGCTGTGCTTAATAATACTATAATTAATTGAAAAGAAACCACA